GAGTTTGCACATTCTCCCTGTGTCAGCATGGGTTTCTTCCGGGTCCTCTGGTTTCCTCCCACAGTCCAAAGATGTGCAGGCGAGGTGGATTGGCAATGCTAAATTGCCTATAGTGTTTGGGGATGAGTAGATTGTGGGGGAGGGGGGGTTACAAGGGGATGGGTTCTGGGTGGGATGCTCTGAGGATCAGTGTGGACTTGTTGGGCCGAAGACCCTGTTTCCACACTGTAGGGATTCTGTGATCTTCTGTGATAACCCAACTTTTCTAGTAGCCACCACAGACCGATCTCAGCAGCAATGTGGAGTGAAAGATAAAGCTTTTACAAGTCTGATACAGTTTGACAGTAACATGCAAATTTGACATTGGGAAAACAAAATGTCATTCATTAAAGCATCTAAGCTTCCAAATCTTGTCAAGTTGTTGCTCTTACATAAAAACGAACACGAGATCTATTGCTATGCCTAATTCTTGATAAGTCTGTTTAAACAGTCAATAAAATTACAAACTCCCTGAGATAATTGTCATTTTTAAACTCCGCCAAGCATTCATAATGAAATGTCCTTGGGGCAATGTCAGTAAATAATTCAAACACTTGGAAAGACAGGGATTGATCCAGATAGTCAGCAAAGATTTGTTAAGGGGAGATCCTGTTTGACAAATTTAATTCAGTTTTTTGAAAAGGTGACTATTATATTGATGAGGATAGTGCAATTGATGTGGTTTTACTTGGATTTCAGCAAGGCTTTTGGGAAGGTCTATTATGGAAGAATGGTCTAAAAGGTAAGACCTCATGGGATCCAAGGCAAGTTGGCAAATTGAATCCAAAATTGGCTTGCAACCAGGAGGCAAAGGGTGATGGTGGAGGGATGTTTTTGTGATTGGAAGCCTGTGACCAACGGTGTACCACAGGGATCAGTGCTGGGACCTTTGTTGTTATGTACATTAAGGATTTGGATGTGAATGTAGAAAGTATAATTAGTAAAGTTTGCAGATCACACACAAATTTGTGTTGTTGATAGTGAAGGGGATGGTTTCTGGCTACTGTCTGATATTGATCAACTGGTAAATTGTCCAGAACAGTAGCAGATTAAATTTAAACCTGAGAAGTGTGAAGTTATGCATTTTGGGAGGCCTGATAAGGAAAGGACATACACAATGTGAATGGTGAGTCCTGAGGGAACATTGAGGAAGAAAGGAATATTGGTGTACAAGTCCATAGTTCCCTGAAGGTGTCAGAACTGGGCAGAGAATATATGAGCAAGGAAGTCTTGTTAAAACATTACCCACGAGGAGCTTGAACAGTTCCTCAACTTTACCAACACTTTTCACCCCAACCTCAAATTCATCTGGACCATCTCTGATAGCCCCTTCTCCTTCCTGGATCTCTCTGTTTCCGTCTCTGGTGACCACCTCGAAACTGATATCTATTTCAAGCTCACCGATTCCCACAGCTACCTCGACTACACCTCCTCTCACCCACCTTCCTGCAAGAATGTGATTCCTTACTCCCAAATCCTCCGCTTCTGCCACATCTGCTCCCAAGATGGGGTGTTCCACTCCCACACATCCCAGGTGTCCTAGTATTTCAAAGGACCGTAACATCCCCCCTCCGGTGATTGAAAATGCCCTCAAACGCATCTCTTGCGTCTCCCACACCTCTGCCCTCACATCGCCTCCCCCCAACATAAACAAAAATAAAGACAGAATCCCCCTTGTCTTCACATATCACCCCACCAACTTCCGCATCCAATGTATCATTCTCTGCCACTTCCGCCACCTACAATCTGACCCCACAACCAAAGATATATTTCCATCCCCACCAATATCTGCCTTTCGTAGGGACCACTCCCTCCGTGACACTCTCGTCTGCTCCACACTCCCCACTAACCCCACCAACCCTGGCACCTTTCCCTGCAACCGCTGGAAATGCTACACCTGCCCCTACACCTCCCCCCTTGCCTCCATTCAAGGCAAAAAGCAAAACTTCGACATCTGACAATGGGTTCACCTGCACATCCGTCAACTTGGTCCATTGCATTTGCTGCACCCGATGTGGCTTCCTCTACATCGGTGAAACCAAGTGGAGACTCAGACCGTCTTGTATAGCATCTGAGCTCTGTACACGACAAACAGCAACACCTTCTGGTCGTGAAACATTTTAACTCCCCCTCCCACTCCCTGGGTGACATGTCCATCCTGGGCCTCCTCCAGTGTCACAATGACACCACCTGGAAACTGGAGGAGCAGCACCTCATATTCCACCTTGGGAGCCTACAGCCCAATGGCCTAAACGTGGATTTTACCAGTTTCAAAATCTCCCCACCCCCAGCCTCATCCCATGACCAACCCTCCCTGTCATCCCCGCCTCCTTGACCTGACACAACCATCTTCTCTCCCACCTATCCACTTCTCCCACCTCACTGATCAATCCCCACCACTGCCTTCCTGCACTCACCTATCACTGTCCCACCTACCTTGCCCAGCCACCTCTCCCACCCCCCCCCATTTATTTCAGAGCTCCCTTCCCCCATTTCTGAATAAGGGTCCCAACCCGAAACGTCAGCTTTCCTGCTCCTCTGGCTGTGTGGCCTTCTGTGTTCCTCCAGCTCCACACAAAGATTTTTAGGGTAGTTTTAAAAACTGGGATCAGAGTAAGTAGGGAGGAGTTTTTCAATGTAGATCAGCAAATATGTTACTTCAGCATAAGTTTTGTGTGTAGCTTCTAGACCAGAAGGGTTTAGTTAGAAATCTGCAGATTATTGAAACTAAGAAAGTCTAAGCCCTCAGTTTTGTGGGTCTTCATGTAAGAAGATTCTATAGTTCATATGAAAGAAACTGAGGAGATTCAGTTAAGGACAATTTAACGATTTGATATACAAGGGGTCCCTGATTTACAAATTTCCAGTTACTACACACTTGTACTTATGAATGCAACCCCATATATAGTTTTAATTTTAAAGACCAGAGATATGAACATTTTGTGTACTGAGGAATGGCTGTTTTCCATTGTCCTCCATTGCGTTCTGACTTGTGAACGGACTTCAGAACGAACCCACTCGTAATCTGGTGATTACTGATAGAGATAACAAGGTGTAGAGCTGGATGAACACAGCAGGCCAAGCAGCATCAGAGGAACAGGAAGGCTGACGTTTCAGGCCTAGACCCTTCTTCAGTGACTCCTGCTTGAGGAATATAGGGTTGAGCTCAACTGTGATGGCCTCCGTGTTGAAATGATATGCTAACTCTCACTGGACTTCACTGAAAGAAGTTCTAGAGGACAACCGGTATTCACCCAAAAAGCTTTGGCGGTTCTAGGAAAAGAGTTAAAATTGAGAAAGAGAATATTTCATGCTAGGTTCAACACCTTTTGGGGGAGGAAAACTCCAGATTGAAGGCAGCATCATCCAGGACAGAGCAAGCTACTTGAGTGGCATCACATCCACCCGTTCTACCAGTGACACCCAATAGCAGTAGTGTGTTAGAGATAGTAGGAACTGCAGATGCTGGAGAATCTGAGATAACAAGGTGTAGAGCTGGATGAACACAGCAGGCCAAGCAGCATCAGAGGAACAGGAATGCTGATGTTTCGGGCCTAGACTGTTCTTCAGAAAATTCTTCAGCAGTAGTGTGTACCGTCGACAAGTTGCAGAAATTCACTAAGGCTCCTTGGACAGCATCTTCCAAACCCCTGAGCACTACAAAGTGCAAGAATAGCAAATACCTGGGAACATCTTCGCCTGCAAGATCCCTCCAAACCATTCATTGACCTGACTCAGTGTTGCTGGGTCAAAATTCTGGAACTCCTGATAGCGTTGTGGGTGTACCTGCACCAAATGATTCAAGACGGCAACTCACCACCACCTTCTCAAGGGCAACTGTGGATGGGCAATAAATGAAGGCCTAGCCAGTGATGCCTATCTTCAAGAGTGAACAAGGAAAAACCATTGCTAGCTTTTGTGTTGAACAGTGCTTTCTGACAGAACCCAAGAATGATTTAGCTTTAATTTTAAGATTGTGCCCCCTTGTTCTAGAATTCCCCTCAGGAAAAATTCTAAATTTCCTATTTAAAAAACCCTAAATATTCTATAAATAACTAATATTTTAGGAGTTCTGTTTTATAATTTCGTTAATGCAGATTGTTGTAGATGTCCAGATATTTGGGTTGAATTATTATTCCAAATTATTTACTTAAAACCATTCCAAAGAAAACTAGCAATTGCATTTTTGATAGTTGATTTGATTTACTTATTGTCACGTGTATTTTGTTACAAAGTATAGTGAAAATGTTGTATAGTATCGCCACTCTCTGTTGCCCTCTTAATATACAGAAAAATAAACTAAAACGTAGAATATAAAGGCAGGAAAATGAAGAAATAAAAAGTGTTCAACTTTACGGTCCTTCTCATTGAGTGCTCTGCTGTGGGCCATGGGCCCGGTGACCATTCTTCTCCTTCTCGCCTCCACTGACATCTTCAACAGAATGAGTCCTAAATGGACCTTGCCAATGTTGATGCTGCCAATGCTGGTACCACACCAGCCCAAACTTGACTTTGCCACCATGAGCCTGCTTCAGGCCTACCTCGTCGATGCAGCTGCTGCTGATGTCGCTGGGTCTCGTACTAGGCCCAAACTCGCCTCCACTACTGCCCCTATGAATCTGCGCTGGATGCAGAAGCGGCAGTAGCCATGAGACGGTGCTGGGACCGTGTCATAGATGCAGAAACTGCCAGGCACCCAAACCTGGCTATGCTGTCGCCACAAGACCGCACTGCTGAGCCCACTCGCCACCGCTGATGCCATCGCATCTCTTCAATAAGATGTGAGTACAAAAAGAGGAAAAAAAATCGAGAAAAGAAAGAAAAAAGGAAAAGAAACAAAAAGAAAAGCGGACGGAGCAGACAGGCCCCAGGCTTCGAACTGCATTGCCATCTTACCAGAAGCAGTAGAAATGTATCAAAAAAGCTTAAATAAGTGATGAAGCTGGAGCACAATAGAATTTGGTATTTTATTTCTTCCAACTCCAACCCCAAAATTTTCCTCTTTCTCTCGATGGGACAGGCAGTTTGCTGGGGGACAAGTCTAATCCAGCAATTTTCTGGTACATCAACCAAGTGGTGATTCTTCTTGCATGAGCGGAAGCAATATGAGGATCGGGCTGTCATTATGGTCAGATATTTCTCTTCAACGATGTTAGTTGATAGCATTTGTCATTCTACTATGAAAATGACATTTCAGTAAAGTAATTTGGAACTATTACTTTAATAGATTCTTGATTGTCCTTTATTTATCAATGCAAACACTAACAAAATGTGGTGTAGACAACAAATTCTCTGTTCATTTGCCCTGATGTAGTGATATGAGGGTTGATTTCTCCTTGAGAAATACTGTATTTTCATAAAGCTTTTGCTGTCAAAATGTCACTTTCTTACATCCTCCTTTGTGTTGCATTGGGAAAATAATGAATTCAACATACCGCTGAAAGTGAGAATAGTTTAATTCAGAGACCAGAGATTAATCTGGTATTGTAATTGCAATGAAGCAGTTCCCTCTGCTGGGAGAGAAAGCAAAGAGCCACAAGTAATCCAATTGGTTTATAAACGATTGTCATTATGGAATCCTACAGTTCAAAAGGGCTGTTTGGTGCATTGTGCCTCTGTCAGCTTGCTGAAAGAAGTATCCATGTAGCCATATGCCAGTTCCTTCCCCGTAGTTTTGCAGTTTTCTTTTATCTTTCAATCGTTGATCTAATTCCCTTTTGCAAGTAACCGTTGAGCTTGGTTCCACCATATTTTCAGGCAGTACATTCCAGATCAAAACTATACACTGCATAGAAAAATATCTTGTGTCTCAACCAGCTCCTTGCCAATTATCAAATTTGTGTAGTCTTGTAATTAATTCTTACATTCTCTGTCAACTTGAGTGCTTCTATTAAAACTGTCCTTAACCTCCTCTGCTCTAAGAGACTCTTAGCTTCTCTAATCTCTACAAATAATTTGAGTTTCTCACCCCTAGTTCCTTTCAAGCCCTGAAATTTGTAGTTGTCATTAAGAATTTAAACATCACAGGTTTAATATCTTGTTTCTGTACATCAAAAACTCACAGTATGTATCTTGTGCTTTGAGGGAACTCTAAGATCTGCTCCAGCTTCTCCACTTCCGTCTCTTCACCAGACTACAAAAAAGCACTTTGATTAGAGTCCTAAGAAGCTTTCATGACACCCTGAAACATTCCACTTGAATGCATCTCTATTATCACAACCTACCCATCATGCCATTGATCAGCAGTGTGGCTCTTCTCCAAATCCTTAGCTTTGGTTTTACATTTGTTAACTGCTTTGGGTGGATTTGTTGCACTAAAGATGCTTTATAAACTCCCAGGTTCTGAATCAGCTCAAATATCTGTAATTCTAATCTGTGAAATTGTAACAATAATAAATGTTTGAGTAATTATAAGTAGTCTAATAGATAAGGTGTTAATAGAGGTGCACATTACACAACTACAATTTATAATTATTTGAAATTAACAGTAAATTTATAATCCTGCAATGAACCAAAAGTTCTTGCTGCTTATTAAAATTATTTTATTGTATTTAAATTCTATATAGAGTTGTTTTCGTGTGCTTTTCCACTGTTTGCAGGTGCATTTTGGCATCCGGGCAGTAGAATCAGCAATTTCATATGAAATGGAGCTGGTTTGATAAGTGCATTAAGTTATGTTGAAATTAAATAAAAGCTGGTATGAACCTTGTTAATTACTTGCAAGATAGAGAGCATCTTATTTATGAATCACAGTCTCAAGATTTAGTCATAAGAATATAAGTATTTTAGCAATGGAATAAAACTTCAGCCATACTCCTCCATCCCTTTCAGATGGATAAGTTAACCTTCCATTAAATTTGTCAATCCTTTCTCTCAGCAATTCAGCTCATTATCTCTTGAATATTTTATGCTGCCTGCTTTTATGGGTATGAAATATAGCTGTCACCCTTCATGATGGTGTTCTCCTCATTTCATCGCTTTTAATATAATCAAATCAAAATTACATCATTTATACAGATGAGCTTATGTTTGTTCCAGGGAATAGTTGGTGGGCAAGTGAACTGCTGACAACCATATTATACACACTGAAAAATGAAAACACAAACTATTTAGAAGAGTTTGAGTTTGATGGAGGGATTGCAACCATTGCTAAGTAGGGGAGATATTAACACAATGCAAACAAATCGCTTAAATTTGTCACAGGAGAAGATCGAAAAATCTTAATGAATAGATCTTTACTTGTACCAGTGAGAGAGTGCATGCAACTCTTACTGTAACTATGTTCATTTTTCTAAAAAAAAACTTAATTTAAATCATTGATACTTTTTTTTTCTTCTATTTAGCAAGAAATGCACATGTATAAGGAGGTATGCTACTACATGCACTTTGCACTGGCTGCCTATGGCTGGCCCTTGTACCTAATGCGAAACCCAACCTGTGGACTCTGCAAGCTGGCTAGCTCATGCTCGTGAGTAGTATTTATTTCCTAAATGTTGTGAAAGCAATTCAGTACATTGAAATATGGTAGGCAACAAGTTCTGATCTGCTGTACATTCCATGGATTATTCAAGTACCATGTGTAAATGTTCTATACCTGAAAACATAGAAGCAGAGAGTTTGATGAGTTGCTTTTATATTTTAGTCTACTAAAGGCCAGAAAAAAAAGCTCATCTCTTTGTGAAAATGGTCCCAAATGAAGTGAATATGATCTTGTTTCCCAGTGGGCAGAAACCCACAGGTTAACCTTGCCTCAGATTTACTATGATTCGATGTTTCTTTGATAAACTGTTAAGGAAATTTATGTACTTAGTGGGGTCATGGTACCTTTGGGGAAAATGTTGAGAGGCTAAAGGACATAATAGCAGCACATTTGAAATACACAGTCTGATTGAGTAAAGTCAACATGCTTCATGAACGGGATGCCATTATCTGACAAATTTATTACACTTTTTTGAAGAGGTAACAAGACCATAGGACACAGCAGCAGAAGCATTCCATTCAGCCTATCAAGTCTACCTTGCTGTTCAGTGAAATCTTGGCTAATCTAATAATCCTTGCCTCCAGTTTCCTGCCTTGTCCTTATGACCCTCGATTCCCTTTCTGATTAAAAGTCTGTATATCTCACCCTACGAGTATTTATACTTTACTACACAACCTCAACAGTTCTCGGTGGTAAAGAATTCCACTACTCTCAGAGACGAAATTCTTCCTCACTTCTACCTTAAATGGTGACTCTTTGCTCTGAGATTATGCCTCAGGTCTTACACTCTCTCACAAAGGGAAACAACTTTTTTGCATGTGGTCTGTTAAACTTCCAAAGAATCTCAAATGTTTCAAAAAGGTCTCCTCTCATTCTTCAAAGCTCCAATAAGTTGAAGCCCAACCCACTCAACCTATCCTCAGAAGAAAATCCTTCCACACCCAGTCAACCCTGCAAGCCTTCTCTGGGTTGACTCGAATACCAATATGTGTTCCCTTGGACAAGGGGCCAATACTGTTCACAATATTTAAGCTGTGATCTGACCCATCAACCCATTATGGCACAGAGTGCTACATTTAGATTTCTGATGAAGCTTCCTATAATGTCTTCGCAAGGAAGGAATGTTCAAGAAAGTAATTTCCTGGGAACTTTAATACGCCTGCCATTAGTCAGTTTTGGAACTGCATTGGCAGGGGCCTGAGTGATTGTTGCCACTGCTCATTTTCTTAAATTATTTATTCTATGCAGTTTAATAAATAGATCAAAATGTACTTCTCAGAGTTCCTTTACGCGAAATTCAGTATTAATTATAAAACTTCAGGGAATTCAGTTCGGGCCTTTTGATTGAAATTGCTTAATGTCACATGCCATTGAATTGTACCATTTCTACTTTCTGCTGTCGTTTTTAATACTGTCTCCATGATTGTGAGCACCACTGCTTTTCTATCTCTCTCCTTTCTTCATTTGTCTGCCTTTTGTTACATTTTTATTTTCCTTCTATTTTCCTTCTTTTACTTTCCATTTCCCTCTCTCACCAATACTATAATCATTTTCTTCTTATTCCTTTTATTGTTGATGTCCCATGATTCTGCTGCTGTCCTTTTCTGTTTTTTTCCCACTGTTAGTGTCTATCTTTCTCAGTCATTATAACCTCTTCTTCCGTTGAAAGTATCACTACATTGCACAAGTCAGGAACAACCTTAATGATTGAGAATAATTGAGAGTATATTTTAAACTAATTTGTATATTTTAAGTTTTGGGATGAGTATGGAGCTATTTGCACAGATGAAAGTGGATCTATGAATAAAGAGAGTTGTGGTCAAATGAACGTTGTTAAGTAGACTGATACTTTTGCTCATATAAAATCATGCCAGTTCCTGGAGATGTGTCATAACTTGTCCAAACAGTTTGATTTAATGATTTTTTAAATCAGATGGGTGAGCATTTTGAAAGAGACGTGCCTAATTGCACGTACATACTGTGCTCTAAACAGGCCTGCAGAATCAATTGCACTAGAGCATTGCCCAACAACAATTAGCTGTGTTCATAGGAAGCTGAACAACATGCTGGTATCAATTTAATAGCATGTGTGCAACCTGAATATGACATTCAAGTTGACTTCAGTGAACTGGAAAGCAAGAATTATATGATTGAGTCAGTATATTGCTTTTAAGCACATCATTATCTTTTATTTTCCAGGTGTTGCTGCTTTTGCCTCCCTCGACCCAGATATGCTCCAAGTGTAACAGTTGAGGAAGACAACTGTTGCAACTGCAATGTCATTGCTATCAAGCGCCACTTTCTGGATGAGAATTTTTGTTTAGTTGATATCGTATATACTTCATGTCACGATGCGGTATGTCATTTGGTACAAATTATTAATGTTGACTCATACCTAATTTTCCTCTAAATGTCTGAGAGCTCTTTTTCATCTACCTGAGAGGGAGACACTCTTGGTTTAACATTTCATCCAAAAGTCAACAATTCAGAAGTGCATCATTCTCTCAGTATTGCATAGGAGAATGACACAGATTGTGTGCTCAAGCACCCTCCCCCATGCGTGTGACACGTGCGCCCATGCGCAAACACACCCATCCCCAGTTGTTCAACTTGGAGATGTGCTCCCATTGAACCAAGGTTCATGTTTTGTTCTTCCACATCCAAGACAGCTGCTGTGTTACGTGCCACTTGTCTGCAACACAAGCCGCAAGCTTCTGGTGCTACAAAAATGAACAGTGGAATATTAGTAAACTGTGCAGCACTCCTAGGGTTATATGTTAGCTATTCCTAGAAAAATGTTGATTTTTTTAAAAAATGAATTCTTTTCCTGCAATTTCTGTTTCACTGTCCTTCAAACTGTACACTCCCACTGACAAGATTTTATATCCATAAAAAAATAAAAATTGTATTTTGCCTTTTTTATTCTAGATTGTATTTATTTAAATATTTAGATTATAATGTGCATAACATATGTTGCTGTGATTTACTAAAAGATTAACCATGTACTGGCCCCATGCCAGCATTTACTTATGCCACTACTGTTTGTATTATTGGTTGTGGGCCCAGAATACATTCTGTGTGGCAATCATCTGTGTTTGAAAGCAGTAACCATCACTATCCCACTCTAAAAGAAGTGGTCAGATATTATATAACATGGACAACTGCGACAGAATTTGTCAGTTACAATGACAGCAGATCTTCAGCAGAGCAGGATTTCCATCAGCCTCATTTCAGATTTGTGCTTCCATTAGGACTAACTGCAGCATGGCAGGTCATTTACCTCCGGTGTGGGGGAGTGTTGCTGTCATATAGCGTGGCAGGATGATGATTAAAATATGTATCAAATACAAAAAAATTAATCCTTCTTTTGCCTGTCGCACTTTGTGATCAACCTCCAAAAATTGCAATTTCCTGTATAAACACCAGGTACAAGGAATGCACCAGGGTCCTGCTGCTCAGGGTTCCTGTTACTTTGTTCATCAAATGTATCGTGAAAATGGTACAATATAAATGATACTTGCTTCATATAATATTTGAGTAAAAATACACTAACTCTAGATGGCAAATCTCCAAGTTGCTTTTGCAGGGCAGGGAGCCCACAGAGCACAGCTGTAGTTGTTTTGCTTCACAAAGCACTTAGTTTACATCCAAAATTGGCTGGAGTAGGCAGAGGGACTTAGATATAATTCAGTCTTTATTGAATGACATTTATGTTTTTGACTTGCTGGGACACTAAGAGGGAAGGCCCATGCTGGATGACAGCAGCAAGGTTAGAAAGAGGAAAGGTATAACAGGAAATATGGATTATTTGACACCAAGCTTTTATTGTAATCTAGGGAGAAAAAAAATTATTCCTAAAGATGAAAATCTCTACAGTTTTGAGGCCTGAAGAAAGAAAACGATGACATGCATTTGTACAGTACCTTGCACATCCGGAGGACGCAATGTAACCTTTGAATTTTTTCTGAAACGTGGTCACTGTAATGTAGGCAAACATGCCAGCCAGTTTGTACAAAGTGAATTCCCTGATGCTCTTAAGAGTGTTGTGGTATCTTTTCCATTCAGTAAAGCAGGCAGATGGAACCTTAGATAAATGCCTTATTGAAAATGTGCAAGAAACTTTAGTGCAGGACAGCGTCACTAACAAAGTGTCAGCCTGGACTTAGCTCCAGGCTTTGGGATGGGACTTGAACTTGTGAATTTTTCACTCGGAGGCAAAGGAGATACCAGTGGGTCACACAGAAATATTGAATTAGATCAAGGGTATGTATTTAAAAGGTTGTTCATTTTAACATAAGTAAGACATGGAAAAATGTAAAACCATGTGAGAGAGAATATTTGCTCTTCAGAAAGGACAAGAAATTTCAGAGGAGCAATGAACTTGGTTGTTAGATAGTTTCAATCCAGTTAACTCCTGTGTTCAATACAGATCATCTTTACTTTTGTATAAGGGAATTAACCCAGTCCTGAAACATTGAAATTTAAAAGCAAAATAGGTGCAAAATGTTAACCACCATTGCCTATCTCAACGTCTTATTAGAATCTCTCGACTTCTTCAACCATTATTTTATCATAAAGTTTGTGTTCATTACCTTTATGTGAATTTAATTAATTTTGAATTTTCTTCCTAGGTTTTTGAAACCCCTTTCTTTGTTGCTGTGGATCATATGAAAAAGAAGGTTGTGATCAGTATTCGAGGGACCCTTTCACCAAAGGTGAAGTATTATAACTGTCCTGTAGGTACACAAGACGAGTCCATTCCCAGAATGCTGCACAATTTATAAATCCTTGTGCCCCATATAATAAGGTGTATAATAATCTGAGATGATGAGCTAAAGGAAGAAATAGTTGTTTTATGATAATTAACACCTAACGTGCTTTTTTTATAGAGAAAAAATAATTATCTGATCCACAAAACCATTTGTTGAGTGTTTCCATGTTCTGATACTTTACTTCTCTTTCAGTGACCGTACAGACATGGACATGCGGCTGACAATTTAGATGCACCTGTGCACACACAACACTGCACTGAAATTTAATTTAGTTTGGTGGGGAGGTGGGACTCTGAATAAGAGAGGGGCCATTGAGAAGTCGGGGAAAACACATTAGCCATCGAGAGCAAGTTTACTATTCAGGCTAGCTAGGGGCACAGTAAAGGGAGGGAAATGACTTCTGGTTTAAAGTGCATTTATTTCAATGCACAAGGCCTGACTGGTAAGGCGGATGAGCTCAGAGCATGGATTGGCTCTGGGGACTGGGATATTAGAGCCATAACAGAAACGTGGCTGAGAGAATGGCAGGACTGGCAGCTCAATGTTCCAGGATACAGAAGCTACAGGCGTGACCGAAGTACAAGTAAACAGGGATGGGGAGTTGCCCTTTAGATAAAGGAGGACGTAATAACAGTGCTTAAAGAGGATATTCTTAAGGGGTTGTCAAATAAGGCCATACAGTTAGAACTTAGAAACAAGGACGGGATAGTCACTCTGGCAATGTATTATAGACCCCCACATAGTCAGCGGGTACTAGAGGAGCAGATGTGTAGCGAGATTGCAGATACCTGTAGGAATAACAGTAGTATTGGTTGGAGATTTTAATTCCCCCTGTATTGACTAGGCCACCCAGAGTGTAAAAGGCCCGGACAGGGTGGAATTTGTCAAATATGTCCAAGAGAGTTTCCTAAATCAATATGTAGAGGGCCCTACTTGGGAGGGTGCCACTCTGGACCTCCTCGTAGGAAACGAGGTCAGGCAAGTGACTGAAGTGTCAGTCGGAGAGCACTTTGGGTCCAGTGACCATAACACTCTTATTTTTAACATGGTTATGGAAAAAGATAGGACAGGTCCACAGGTTAAGGTGCTAAAATTGAGCAGGGCCAATTTTGGGGCCCTTAGGCAGGATCTAGCAGTGGCCAATTGGGTGAGACTATTTGAAGGAAAATGAACGACTGGCAAATAGGAGGCTTTTAAAAGTGTGATATCAAGAGACCAGGGACAGAGTGAAGGGAAAAGCTGGCAGGTTCAGGGATCCCTGGCTGATGAGGGATATTGAGACTCTGGTCAGGGAAAAGAAGAAAGCATACATTGGGTTTAAGCTGTTGGGCTCAAGTGAATCCCTAGATGACTACAAAAAGTGTAGGAGCACATTTAAGAGGGAAATCAGAAGAGCAAAAAGAGGGTATGAGATGGATCTGACAAATAACCTTAAAGATAATCCCAAGAGGTTCTATAGCTATATTAAGAAGGTGGCTAGGGAGAGAATAGGTTCCTTTACAGATCAGCATGGTTATCTATGTGTGGAACCGCAGGAGATGGGGTGGATTTTTAATGAATATTTCTCCTCAGTGTTTAAGGAGAGAATCATGGATGCTAAGAAAATAAGGGAAATAAGTAGGGATTTTTTGGACCACAAACATATTACCAGAGAGGTGGTGTTTGCAGCCTTAAATCATATTAAGGTGGATAAATCCAGCAGGCCTGATCAAGTCCATCCTCAGATATTGTGGGAGGCTAGGGAACAAATTGCAGAGGCCCTTGCAGAGATTTTTGCTTCATCTTTAGCTACTGGTGAAGTTCCGGAAGACTGGAGTGTGGCTAATGTTGTTCCATTGTTTAAGAAAGATAGCAAAGACAAGCCAGGGAACTACAGGCCAGTGACTCTGAAATCAGTGGTAGGCAAGTTATTGGAGACGATACTGAGGGACAGGATCAACCAACATTTGAATAGTCAAGGTCTGATTAAGGATAGGCGGCATGGATTTGTGCACGGGAAGTCATGTCTGACAGATCTTTTAGAGTTTTTTGAAGAGGTAACCAAGAGAATGGATGAGGATAGGGCAGTGATCCTGCATGGCAGGCAAGTCATGAAAGTTAGGTCGCATGGGATCCAGGGAGAGCTAGCTAATTAGATTCAAAATTGGCTCGATGATAGGAAGGAGAGGATGACGGTTGAAGGTTGATTCTCAAACTGGAGGCCTGTTACTAGTGGTGTGCCATGGGGGTCAGTGCTGAGACCTTTGTTATTTGCTATTTATGTAAATGATCTGGATGTGAATGTACAAGGCATGATTAGTAAATTTGTGGATGATACAAAATTAGGTATCATTGATAGCGGGGAAGATTATCAAAAATTAAAGGGGTCTTGATCAGATGGGGAAGTGGGCTGAAGATTGGCAAATGCAATTCAGTACAGATGAGTGTGAGGAGTTGAACTTTGGAAAGTCAAACCAAGGTAGGACTTGTACAGTAAATGGTAAGGTCCTGAGGAGTGTTATGGAACAGAGGGACCGAGAAGTACAAGTACATATTTCATTGAAAGTGGTGTCACAGGTAGATAGGGTGGTGAAGAAGGCATTTAGCATGCTGACCTTCATTGGTCAAGGCACTGAGTATAGGAATTGGAATGTTATGTTACAGTTGTATAAGTTGTTGGTGAGGCTGCACTTGGAGTATTGTGTACAGTTTTGGTCACCCTTTTATAGGAAAGACTTAGTTAAACTGGAAAGTGTGCAAAGAAGGTTTACGAGAATGTTACCAGGACTAGTAGGCCTGAGTTATAGGGAGAGGTTGGCTAGGATAGGATTTTATCCCTATTGAGGTGTATAAAATCATGAGGGGCATAGATAGAATGAATGCGTGTAGTCTTTTTTCCAGGGATGGGGAATTGAAAACTAGAGGGCATAGGTTTAAGGTGAGAGGGGAAAGATTTAAGAAGGACCTGAGGGGCAACTTCTTCACGCAGACAATGCTGTGTATATGGAGTAGTCTGCCAGAGAAAGTGGGTTGAGGCAGGTACAATAGCAACATCCAAAAAAACATTTGGATAGGTACATGGATGAGAAGGGTTTAGAGGGAAATGGACCAAATGCAGGCAAGTGGAACTAGCTGTGTGGGCATCATGATCAGCACGGAGCAGTTTGGGCTGGAGGGCCTGTTTCCATCCTGTATTACTCTATGACTGTATGTATTACACCCCTCCACCAGCCAAAAAAAAAAATGCAAGAGCTCATTCTGATAGTTGAGTAAGGACATGTTAGAAGAGACCCATCCAAATGTGTACCTTAATGGGAGTAGTCACTCACATGCATATAAATCAGCTACACAAATATTGACACATGGGGATACAATTATCCATCAAGTAATAGTGTCAGATCCGGTATGCACAGTATAACAATTCCAGCTGATGTTATTACACGGCAAATCCAACCCCAGACAGGAACCTGGTTTGATAGATAAAATATAATTTGTTTTGGTTTTTACAAAAGTGATCGCTAACTGAAACATAAGGACATGATGCTGTAGATTTTGCTTTAACAATAACACAGTAAAATATTGCAAATGAAACGACAACAAAATAGAATAAACGATATATTTACAATACAAATTCAAAGATTTTTAAACATACAGGAATTCTATAATCCTATTTATCCCTAAACATTCCTTTATAGAACGTAGAACAATACAGTGTAAGAACAGGCCTTTGAGCCCACCATGTCTGTGGTGAGCACAAAGTATTCTAAATTAATCCCGTCTACTTGCATGTGGTCTGTATCCCTCTGTTCCCTGCCCACTCATATGTCTGTCTGAATGCCTGTTAAATATTGTTATTATTAATATATGCTAAATTGAAAAGAGACAAGCAGCTTTTTTATTCTATCCAAAACACACTATTGATGCAGGTACCTTATAAGTTTAAGTCATTTGTAACTTCAACTTTTAGATTAAAACTGCAGACAGTTTCCTTCTGAGACTACCATTGACCTGTTTAAATATATTTAGCTTTAAGTAATCACTTCAGCGTGTTAATCCAACATTTTTGGTCTGGAATTAACATTAACTCATCACTCTAAGGTAACGTAGTTCAACATTCATCAGACCCTTCTCAAAGGCACTCTTCTGCACAGTCATCCTATTCAAAGGACTTCACAGGACTGCCTCACTCTAAGTTAAAAGTGAAACTAAAATTCTTTCTTAGCTATGGTCATTTCCCTTAATCTTAATTAAACCCAAGTCCCAGAACACTGTAACAAACATTGAGGCCCTGGTAGTTACCTTGCTGACTTGCAAAACAATTTAAATAAGCAAATATCCATCAATACTTCACAAAATCCATTCACTTTAAAACCAGACCTCAAAAAAATCATTTTAAAAGAAATCGTCATGGCCAGAGGAATGTTTGCAAGTTAATAATTAACTTCAGTCACAGAAGCTTCATCAATTCCAAACTCAAAAACCAGAAACCCAAACAACAAATAAATATAAATTCCACAATTTACGTCATCGTAAATACAGGTCTTCACCCACAGCTGTTATAGTCAAATATGCGCAGGCACCTAACTGACTGTACATACATTTTTAATGCAGAATCTATTGTCTGTCTCCTTAAATATTTAGGTTGTGAACAGTTTTAATCCCAAATGCACATGCAATGAAGTCTTAATTTATTGCCTGCTATTTATAAAGTATATAACAGATGTGCAGGGAGCAGAAAGTAATGGACTTCATGTCAACAAAAAGTGATGGTAAACAAGTTCATACAGGTCTTAAGTGGAAATTATTTATATTTACATTGGGATTTGTGCCATTTCAGTTTCAATCCTTTCTCCCCCCATATTTCTCATTGCTGCTTGCAATGTATTAGTATATATTAAACATTGCTTGGACTTCATATAATGATTTCTAAGGTTTCCCTGATTTGACTGTTGCATAATGTTGCTGCCACACAGACTAGAACATCCTAGGTTTGGTCTCTGGTTATTGTGATTTAGTTTTGATCTAACAAGAAGAGGGCTGCTGAGTCTATTTCTTTGTATTCAGTCATGGGAGGTTCATGTCAGTAGCAATGCCAGCTTTTATTGACAATCCTGAATTGCCCCTGAAAAAGTGCTTGTGAGCCACTGCTTTACACATGGTACAGATATAACTGCAGTGTTATTCAGTTGGCAGTTGCAGGATTTGGTACAGTGACAATGTGGGAGTGGCAATACATTTCCAAGTAAGGATGGTACATAGCTTGAAGGGGAATTTGCAGGTAGTGATGTTGCCATGCATCAGTTGCCCTTGTCCTTTTGGGTGACAGCAAGCAAGAATATAAGAACTAGGAGCAGGAGTAGGCCATCTGGCCTGTCGAGCCTGCCCCGCCATTTAATAAGATCGTGGATGATCTTTTTGAGACTCAGCTCCACTTACCCGCCCGCTCACCATAACCCTTAATTCCCTTACTGTTCAAAAATTTATCTAGCCTTGCCTTAAAAACATTCAGTGAGGTAGCTTCAACCGCTTCACTGGGCAGGGAATTCCACAGATTCACAACCGTTTGGGCGAAGAAGTTCCTCCTGACCTCAGTCCTACATCTGTATCCCTTTATTTTGAGGTGATGCCCTCTAGTCCTAGTTTCACCTGCTAGCGGAAACAACCTCCCTGCCTCCACTTTATCTATTCCCTTCATAATCTTGTATGTTTCTATAAGATCTCCCCTCATTCTTCTGAATTCCAATGAGTATAATCCCAGTCTACTCAGTCTGTCCTCTTAATCCAACCCTCTCAACTCTGGAATCAACCGAGTGAATCTCCTCTGCACTCCCTCCAGTGCTAGTATATCTCTTCTCAAGTAAGGAGACCAAAACTCCAGGTGTGGCCTCACCAGGACCCTATACAGCTGCAGCATAGCCTCCCTGTTTTTAAACTCCATCCCTTGAGCAATGGCAGACAAAATTCCATTTGCCTTTTTAATTACCTGCTGCACCTGCAATCCTACTTTTAGCGATTCATCCACAAGGACACCCAAGTTCCTCTGCACAGCAGCGTGCTGCAATTTTTTACCATGTAAAACATAGTCCATTTAGCTGTTATTCCTACCAAAATGGATGACCTCACACTTATCAACATTGTACTCCATCTGCCAGACCTTTGCCCACTCACTTAGACTATCTATATCCCTCTGCAGACTTTCGGTGTCTTCTGCACACTTTGCTCTACCACTCACCTTCGTGTCAACTGCAAATTTTGACACACCACACTTAATCCCCAACTCCAAATCATCTATGTAAATTGTAAACAATTGAGGTCCCAACACGGATCCCTGAGGCACACCACTAGCCACTGACCGCCAACCAGAAAAACACTCATTTACCCCTACTCTTTGCTTTCTACTGGTCAACCAATCCTCTATCCATGCCAATACATTACCTGTAATACCATGCAACTTTATCTTATGTAGTAGCCTTTGGTGTGGCACCTTGTCAAATGCCTTCTAGAAATCCAGATACACCACATCCACAGGTTCCCCATTGTCTACCATGCAAGTACTGTCCTCAAAGAACCTTGGCAAGTTGCTGCATTGTATCTTATAGATTGTATGCACTGAAATGATGGCGCACCAGTATCGGAGAAATGAATGATAAAGAATTTGGATAAGTGCCAATCAAGCAGGCTGCTTTGTTTTGGATTGCATTGAGGTTCTTGAGTGTTATTGAGGCGGTAGTTCCCAGGTCAATGGATAGTATTCCATCACAATCCTCACTTGTGCCTTGAAGACGGTGAACAGGCTTTGGAGAGCCAGGTGATGTGTGACTCAGCAAAACTTTAAGCTGCTGTTATAACAATGCAATCTATGTGGTCAATCCATTTAAGCTTCTGGTCAATGTGACTCTCAGGATACTGATGATAGGGATTTCAGTGATAATAATTCCTCAAAGATCAAGTGTAGATGGTTAGATCATCTCTTGTAAAGGGTGGTTATACTTGGTGCAACTGTCACAGAAATGTTACATGCCACTTACCAGCCCAAGCCAGGTTTTTCTGCATGTAGACATGGATCACTTTTACACAGTAGTCTAAGACCAAGGGGAAAGATCAACCAATATTCACAGTACCAATAAGTATTGCTAAGAATTGCATATTGATATAGGATAAGCGTGGGCAAGAGAAAATCTAATTGCTTGGCAACTATGTATAAATCATCATAGATGCATGACTTATGGTTTCACTGCGTGTCGTGCCAAAAACAATTCTTACATTCTAGTGAGGACAGAATAAATGTTGGCTAATGTTCTTGTTAACAGAATAATATAGAATTACTGCTTTCAGCAGATGAATAGCCTGTTGACTTAACCATCTAAGTTGATAAGTGAGGAGTTACTTTATGGGGTAGGGTGATAGAAGTGTGACTGAATCTGAGGAAACACAATCCTGGAAAGATAGGAAAATGTTAAGCAAAAATAGGAAAACAAACATCAGTTCAAAGCTACCAAAGACAAGCTTGTGTAAGGCTCATTTTGACTTGCTGTAATCTTAATGACAGGATGCCCTAACTGATCTGACTGGAGATGCTGAACGATTACCAGTAGAGGGCCATCATGGTACTTGGCTTGGCCACAAGGCAAGTAGAATTTTTATTGTATTCTTCAGATGAAATAGTCATGATGCTCTTCAGATGAAATAGTCATGATGCTGTTGTAAGTACTTCAGAAATTTTAATTCCAATATTTGGCCCTGTTTCTAAAATTAAACAAGATATGAAACTTACTTAGTCGTACAAAGGAACAGAAAAATTAAAGTTGCTCTTGCTGTCTATTTCTTGTATTCAGAATACTATATTGGAAGTTGTACAACATTCCTGTCTTAACAGTATGCCCTCCTGTGCCAAAGAGAAATTAGCCTTTTACACAAAAAAAATTTGAATTAATTGCCTATCAAGTTAAGGAATGTGCCAAGGAATGGGAAATTTTTCATTTTATAAAGTCAGATCTTGCATTCTCAAATCAAATGTTCCAAATAAAGTATGCTTTTTTCCCCACAGTATCATCAACAAGTTTTAACCATATAAGTAAAGGGAAGCCTCAAAATAAACTTGATTTGAAGCAGTGAATGAATATTCATACACTTTTATAATGAAAGATGTTGGATAGAGAATGTAGAACATTAAGAGGCCATTTTGCTTATCCATGGCTACTGTAGTACTCTATGCTCTTTTGTGCACCACGCAGTTTTATTTTAAATGCCCTAAATATTTCCATCTCTAATTAGTTATTTAATTAACAAAATAAAGGCTCTGATATTAAAACTCAACTATACGTGACAGAATGTTCCATTCTTCACTTCCAGATGTTCTTCTAGATCAAATTTAGTTCTTAAGATCATGAGTTTCTAATACATGGTTTTGTTTAATTTTCATACAGTGCCATTTTTCTTGTATCTTCTTTTCCCCTTATACAATTTCATTTTACTTCAGTTTCATATTAATATGCATTTTAATTGACTTTTGTTGATTTTTTTTAAAGCTTGTTCTGTCTCACTTTTTGTTTTTACTAAGCTATGATTATAAAGCAAAAGACAAAATACCAAGTTGTCAATTATAACATATTACTGGCAATTGGACTGCAGTAGGCATTGGAATTTGAGAAAGCAAACAACAATTTGCACTGAGTTTGTGCATCTATAACAGCTTTGGTTGCACTAGGTCAGCTGATTCTTTCCAACAGAGCTTTTTCACATTGTTCATCCGTAGCTTGCACTTTTTCGACCAATGCACTGAAATACAGTCAGTCTTATCCAGGTGCCTTTCTCACTGCCATTTGCCACTGTTATGAAATGCTAGTACTTTATAGTTCAGAAATGGATGATTCATCCATTGCACCTCTGAAAGGACTATCCACTTTGTACTTTCCTCATAATCTTAAATGTGTTTTGCTGAAAACAACCTGATGTAGTGGTAAGTGATAACATTAAAAACCATTAAAATGTCACATGCACTTATACGCAAGTAACTTTTTTAAAGTGTGTAGTCAATGGAGAGAGTAGCATATTTGTGCAGTTTTCCGCTATCCTGTAGTTTAAAGATATATTTCAAGAATTGAAATGATCAATACGGTTAATTTTTAAATTCCCTCTGCTATTGCCAAGCAAGCCATTCAGCTGTATCTAACCACTACAGATCTGACAAAGGTAATGAAACTGAATATACCACCTGGCAAGGAACTGGAAATGACAGTTTTAGTCCTATTGAACCTACAAAACCCTCCTTAGCAACGTCTGAGGGCCTTGTGCAACAACTGGGGGAACTCTCCCAGAGACTAGCCAGGCAACAGCTTGATATAGACAGTGTCCCAGACACCATCATGACCATCACCATCCCTGGGTATGTCCTATCCACTGACAGGACAGACCTACCCAATGTGGCTGCACTGTGGTATACAGTCAGGAGGGAATCCTTGACATTGACTAAGGACCTCATAATGTCTCCTAGTGTCAGGTCAAACATGAATAAGAAAACCACCTTCTGATAATCGCCTTAGTTTAATTGATAGATTAACAAAGCTAACAGTTTGAGTCTGAAATGACTGTTCTTTAGAGCTGATTCTGCGGTTACTGTCTCCACAGATGCTGCCAGATCTGCTCAGTTTCTCCAATACTTTTTGTTTTTATTTCAGATTTTCAGTATCTGAAGTAATTTGCTCTTATTTAAGTGTAGTAAAATGCTGATAAACGCTGTTAAGCGCTTCTTGGGTATAATGTATTGCACGAATGGAGCTGATTACAAAACAACTATACAAAATAAATTTACATACTTTATCATAATTCAATATATTCAACACATTCTCTATCTTACACAACATTTGTTAGTTGATGGCGAAGTGTCTAAGACTTCTAAATGTCCTACCGATTATAAATATATTTTGTCAGGCTCCAGCATTTGTAATATGTGTCATAAAACTTTATTTCAGCAGTATCATTTTTCTTTCATCTTCCTGAAAAAAAGCAGTTTTAAGGATCACCTTCATTGCTGAAATCCAGGACAGATGGCAGGCAAAATCTGCCAACTAACTCTTCCTTCACAAAAGAGGCAGAGCTGCCAGATATTGTGAAGCAGTTCCTTTGCTGGTTAGTTTTGAGAATTGCAGGTTCTCACCCACTTTCTTTAAACATCAAGAGTCTGTGAACAGAATACATTATTAGAAAGCTCGTAATGGCAAAATTGAAAAAGTTGCGTCGTGATGGCTAGGTTAAAGGTATTTCTGAATACTTTAATTAATATTTTGCATTACTTTCTATTATTATTACGAATTAAACAAAATATCAACCTCTAACTAGTTTTTATAATTTATCTTGTTTGCATTCTGATCCTTTTTCAGGGCATGGTTCTATCTGCAGAATACATCAAAAAGAAACTAGAGCAGGAGATGATTCTTTCTCAAGCTTTTGGCCGAGACCTGGTAAGGTACAGTTAATATTCCAAAATATTGACAGAGATACACCTAATGAATGCTGTTGGTGTGAAGTAAAAATAATATTGTTATCCAAAAGAGGAAAACTGGGTTACCAATTTGTTTCAGTTGTCATAAATTCTCATGAAATAGAACCTTCCTCCTCTTGAGTGTCCTGTTGTGCGATTCCAACATTCTATGATGCAAGGTTGATTGATTTTCTTCAAAAAACAACTCATACATACTAATTTTCTGAATTACATTTTCAGATTTTGCTGCATGTGTAATTTGTAGATGTTCCAGCTCCTAGTCAGCTTTTCCTTTTAGCAAACTACTTCTGTGTGTCTTTAAACAGGTGTACTTTTCTTCTAAAGTCAGAAATTTGAAGTCCTAAATATATATAAATATAATAGTTATGATTTGCTATTCCATAGGATATTTGGTATTCATTTAAGTTGTGCATTGCAGCCTGCTCAGCTCTATTGAGAGCTCAGAATCAGATGGTTGGGATGGCTTAATGTGCTCACCATCACCTGACCTGATAATGTAGAATAACGTTGCAGTTCAGTGATGAATTGTACTGTCTTTTGGAGTAGATATTAATCAATTGGTTATTCTATTGAGTTTGATTTTAAATATTCCACAGCAATATAAAAAGGGCCAGGAGTTCTTCAAGGGTCCTTCTTGCGTCAAGTACATCTCCAGGACATCTCTGCAGTAGTTCCTCAGGGTAATGTCCTAGGCCCAATCATATCCAGCTGCTTCATCAATGACCTTCCCTTCTTCATAAGGTCAGAAGTGGGCATGTTCGCTGATGATCACACAATGTTCAACAGCATTCACTACTCCTTAGATACTGAAGCAGTCCGTGTTCAAATGCGACAAGATCTGGACAGACAAGTGGCTCGTAAAATTCACGCCACACAAATGCCAGGCAATGGCCATCTCCAATAAAAGACAATCTAACCCAGCCCCTTGACATTCAAAGGTGTTACCTTCATTGAATCCTCAACTAACAACATCCTAGAGGTTATCATTGATCAAAAACTCAACTGGACTTGCCACATAAACACAATGGCAATAAGAGCATGTCAGAGGCTAGGAACAATGCAGTGAGGAACTCACCGCCTGACTCCTCAAATCTTGTCCGTCATGGAATGCTTCCCACTTGCCTGAATGGGTACAGCTCCAACAACATTCAAGAAGTTTGACACCATCCAGAACAAAATAGCTCACTTGATGTGCACCACATGCACAGGCATCCACTCCCTCCACCACTGACGCTCAGTAATTGCAGTGTGTACTGTCAACAAGATATATGGCGGAAATTCACCAAAGATCCTTAGACAGCACCTTCTAAACCCACAACAACTTCCAGATTCAAAGACAAGGGCAGCAGATACACGGGAACACCACTACCTGCAAGCTAAAAATCGAAAGAACTGCAGATACTGTAAATCAGGAACAAAAACAGAACAAAGAACAAAGAAAATTACAGCACAGGAACAGGCCCTTCGGCCCTCCAAGCCTGATCAGTCTGTCGTCTCTGTGGTGCCAGGTCTATGGGGTTATGGCTAATACGAGTTGACGAGTTGTGTAGATATCTGTTAGGCATCTAGACACATCTTGCCCAAGGCCATCTGGTCATGTTATTTGAAGAGTTGAGCTTCGGTCACTCCTTTGGGACCATCCACAGAGACTAAAGTGGAGTGAGGTGGGGGCAGGTGCAGCTGTCACTTCAGCCCTTGCAGGTTAGTCCTTGGGACATTAGGCTGCAAGCTCTGGGCAAGGATGCAATATAGTTGTGAAGTGAGATAGCAGGATTTGCAAGGGGCTGAAGGGAGACTGTAAAGCATGACTGTGAATGTTGAAATGTAGGGTGAGGGAGAAGGAGAGTTGATCATGGTCAGGAGCATACTGCTTCAGCGTGGATGGGGAGTGTGGGGAGCAGTGAATGACCATATTGGACATGGTTATTTGACATGATGGGCGCTTCTTGGGAATGATGGAATTTACAGAACATGAATAAGCAATTCAGCATAAAGCCTGTTTTACCATTAATACAACCACCACTGATCTAATCTCAGCCTCAACTCCACTTTCCTGCCCTCTCCCCATAACCATATAACCCGTTCCTAATTTAAAGTCTATGTCTCTCCTCAAATTTATTCAGTGTCCCAGAGTCCGAGGATTCATGACTTTTTAAGAGAAGTCATTCCTCCTCATCTCTGTTTTAAATCTTTCATCCCTTAGTGTAAACCTGTGACCTCTCATTCAAG